AGTCTTGCACACATAAATGACAACTCCCAAATCAGCTCTCTGCTTAAAAGTAGGATTCCTATGTTTCCTCAGCTCTTTTTTTCTGCTCCTGTTGGACTTTCTGGTATCTGTACCATCCCTCTGGCAGGCAAGGACACATTTACATTGGCTTTCACTAAGGGAGCAACAATCTACCAAACTTATTCAGTAGAATGAAATTTGGGATGTAGCAAATGGATGTTATTCAGAACATCTTGCCTCAGAATAAATTCATGTGAATAAATGATCTCTGTGGACATCAGTGCACACCTTCTGTGTCTGTGCTGCTGGAGCATGGGGCACATGGACCTTTCTTTTTTCCTCTATTCCACAGGCCTGTGGAAGTCCTTGTGGTGCAAATTAAAGGCAATGCAAAGAAAGCAATAATATCACACTTTTAGTACAGTACTGGAAGACAGTTGTGGAGGAAAGCACAGCAAGCTTCCTGCAAAAGGCTGACAGAGAAAATTGCTTCCTTTTTTTGCCTCCATGTGAGAAATGAACATAAAGGACAACAAATGCCACTGATAGAGATAAGAAAAATAAATTCCAAACAACCTCAGTAGCAACAAAATGATAAAATATTAGTGTTCTTCCTGGTAAAGAGCMTGGAAATGATAGAGCTGCTTCAAGATGTAACCGTTCCAGATAAAGATGGGTACAATTGCTGTCATATGCAGGAAAGGCTAAAAAAGAAACCTTTTCTTTGCTATCTTAAAGGAAGATCAATTTGGATCAATAGTGCTCTTTTACTGAAAACATGAATATTTAACTGTAACGAGTGAGGGAAAAAAAAAGGTGAAAGACTTTTCTTTGTAAAAAATGAAACAGGCATGTTAATTCATAGTCACCAAGATCTTTTTGGATCTTCAGGGTATTCATGAAAAGASAGAGCCCTCTACTGGCCTCTGCTCCTCCCTGTTCCAAGCYCTTTAGAGATTCGAGAGTCAAAAMGAAAAGTTTTTCTGCCACACACAAWGTTCTTGATCTAAATCTAWTAGAATGGAGTGCATTTTAGGTTCCAAATTTCACAGCTGCATAAAACTATTTTTGTAAGAGAAAATTAAGATCTTATCAGTATAGCCAGAAGATCTGTGTTAGTTCAGTCCAGTTTCAATAGAACATATTGCATATAATACTTTMCTTTTGCTAAAATAAACTGGAATCTTTACTGCTGTTTTCCAAAAGATTTGGTTATTAAGATTCCAGAAAAATTAAGGAAAKCAGGTTAAAGCATTTATCTTTAGCCTAGTACAGATTTCACATGTATTATACCCCCTTTATTAATTTTAGTTGAATACTATCCCGTTGCAGAAATAGAATGTGCACCGTGTTATTGGCCCTCTGCAAATACAAATACACCATACCCATCCAGCCCAGAAAAAGTACAGATGAGAGGAGGGAAAATTTGACAAATCCTTAATTTTATAATTAGTACATCCCCTTGTAAGAAAAATGATCAGTTTTAAACAGTAAAAATTCTCTCTAGTTTCACCTCTGTGCATACCCTAACAGAATTATTACCYATTAGCACAATGCTTGTTGTGCTTTTCATTTAGATCACAGCACTTAATTTGGAAGAATTCCTGTAATTTGAAATCATTTTACTTAAGATATATGACAAGTAAAGGATCACCAAGATTAGGCCTACAGCCGAGATGATGGGCAGCCACTCCATTTAGTCTGCCCTGATTGCAAAGCATTCCCACAGCCCCTTCCCAGCTGCCTGACTGTGCAATCTCTGCTTCTGTAACCACTGCCTGCTGGTGCCAGGTCCAACTTCCATTCTCTGCAGCAGGAGTTCAGCCCTTTGCCTGGGGAKGAGAAATTCTCTGACTGACAGACTCCTAAAATACCTTTAAGCAACTGAGCTAGGGCCCAGACCAAGGTAAAACAGTGCATGAAGTATTAGCCTGAAAAACAATTTAATTATTGTAGCACTACAAATAAACCAACATTCGGAGTAAGGAGGCTTTTAGTGACCAAAAAGCTGGTTAGAGCACAATTCTGCAAACGATGCCAGGGTTGTGGGTTTGATCCCTGTATGGCCATTCACTCAAGTGTTGGACTCCATGATCCTTGTGGGTCCCTTCCAGTTCCGAATACTCTGTGACTATACGAGAGTGCAGGATGCCCGTGTGCCAAGAGATGAGAAGTCTACTCAGGACAATCTTATCACTGCACAAAGAAAGAAACAGGTGGCTCTGAGGCATGCACAACATAAACTAAACTTACTGTATCTTTAACRAGTTTAGCTTACATTTATGATTTGCATATGGACAGCAAGATTATCTGAAAAGCATAAACGAAAACAAGAAGGTGTGGAACACAATATATGCAAGAAGCTGACCCAACAGACAAACAGGAGCCATAAATGTGGTTTAGGCTGTTGAGGAGCCGGATGCCATCATGGGCAGTCCAGCTCCTGTACAATGTTACACACGTTACCTTTCACGCTGCTCAGAGTAAGAAAACCTGCAAAAACGCTGGCCCTGGGGCAGGACAGGACAGAGCAGGTGTGAGAAAGGCACATTTGAGAGCCTCATGTGAATGGATGACACCATAGAGCACATTCCCCTCCAGCTGGACCCTTCAGGCTTCCCAAAGGCTACAACTGTTTACAACAACCCATGCACAACAAGCACACAGACACACTCCCTCTTTGCAAGATGGGAAGAATCCCTCCTCCTCTGGATTACATCTTCTCTGGAGATGCTTTTCAGAGCATTGCAACTGACTCCCAAATTCCTCATTTTGTGAGATCAYGTATGATCAAGGRTTTTCAAAACATCTGTGTAGAACTCTGTGGCATATATTGCCTAAGTCCAGGATGGCAGACAATTTAATTGCACATCCTGTCTTGCACACATTGGTAGGGATGAGAAGGTACATATTTGAAGTTGCATCCGAGAGCGGCCCAAAATGCCATATTGAAGTGGGACATTAAAGGATCTTTCAACTTGCTCACTTATAAAGAATGGGACATTAAAAGARTAAGGGCTAATAATGGCACAGTTACTACCCTGATACTACTATTGTCATGGAAGAAAGATTCAGGCAAAATGAAGTAACATAATCAGGAAGAGACCGGAGACGATGTTGGAAGTAAAAGTTCTTCAGATCCAATGAGGATAAAGTTCTTATGATCTTAAAGTTCTAAAGATCTTAAAGTTCTAAAGATCCAATGAGTAAAATTTCTTCAGATCCAATACTGTCCAGGGGATTTCTAAGCATTCACTTTCACAAACTGAGCAACTGTCACAGCAACACAGGTATGAAAACAAAACCAGTGGAAATCTTGAATTACATTTATCATAAACTTGGTTGGATTTATCAATAATTCCTCAGGCAGGATGTCTCACACACGTGATGGTTACAGCACGACATGGAAAAAAAAAACCTCAATATCTGGAGCACAAAGTAACAATAAATACCCTCCAAGCGTACAAAATATAGAAAATGCCCTCACAGACCAGTATTTTCAGAGAATTTATTTATAATATATTTCAATTTGGCACACAATTGGAAAATGCTAATACAATTTGGTGGGACAACAGGAAAATGCTGGAGTGTTGCTGTCCTTTGGAGAGAAAAAAATAAATGTGAATTACATATATGGAACAATTGGGCTAGAAAAYAATGTTACCTGAAAGTGGACTCTATCAGCTGTAGACCATAAAAAACATGACAGACTTAAAAACTTAGACACTCGAGACTTTCCAAACGACACCGTTTGGAAACAGTGACGTTTCCAAATATAGACTGAAGCTGTCAGAGACAACTTTAACACAACCCAGGTTATTTGCTCTATTGACAGAAGTTGAGCTTTTCAGAATTTAGCTTATTTTACTGTTCCTGTTTTMTCTGGCTTGGTTCTGCTCACGTGGAGTTCAGTGGGAATACTGCTATTGAGTTCAACAAAATCAGGCCTTTCACAGAGCGCCAATGCAGCCTCTTTCATAAGCAATGAAGCTCTGTACCCAGCAGGGCCACAAAAGCCAAATACTTGTAACATTACAGTGAAAAAAACATTTTTTTCCTTCTTTTCGGGTGTTTAAATTCTCCTTAGTCCATCTGCCTATTTTCTGTATGTGCAGTACCCCCAACTGCATGAACCTCTCCACCTTCCCATACTTGGTTGGCAACTATTGAACTTATGGTAGAATCTGGTACCCTATATCTTAGTTCCAAACATTAACAGGTTCAGGATAAATTGGATAGTTGACTGCTGGGCCCTCTCATTCTGGGACTGCYTTTACCTCTGCTCTCTCATTTTTCTTGTCCACATTGACTAAGAAAAGATCAAGGATCAGAAAGGAACAGAAGRAAAACTGGTCACTAATTACTGGCTCCAGAGGGAGTCTCAGAAGGAAACTGGATGAGCACTTCTCACACAAGAGCTAAAAGAGCTGGTGTGGCATCTGAAAACCATGACATACAAGGCTTCAAGAGCTTCTCAATATGGATCATAGGGAGCATGACCTGCTTGTGGGGTGGGAATACACTCGCAGCAGGTACTAGGACATCACTGCAAGAGCTGCCATACAGACGTTGTGGTTCACAAGTCAAACAATTGAGTCCTCAGTTACCACATTCTTGTCTCAGTGAGTTACTTTACAGTGAAGTAGATACAGTGCAGTTTTATCGAGGACAGCARATTAGAAGGTAAGACTTTCAATGATATTTTGGCAAAGCCAAATCTGCAATTGTTTGTGTGAAAGGGCCTAAACCACTAAAGCACTRAAGAAAGGCTCAGTGTGAGTGGTCTGACAGAGACCTATCCATTCAGGTTCACCTTGGTTAGAGGCAGTCCTTCCTGCCCTCCTCCTGCCTGGGCTTAAAATCCCACAGGCATTTATTTGTGGTCCATTGAGGCTTATCTGTATCATTATCTAACCCCTGAAAGACAAGAAAAATGCAACAGTGTAATTTAAAAATAAAGAAACAGAAATAAGTGTCCTTTGCTGCTTAACTTCTAACTTCTAACTAAGTTGCTGCTGCTAACTTCTTCAGCACAGCCATCTGCTTCTTTCCTCTCTGCTGCTCTAGTTTTCTTCAGAAAACAGATCTACAAAGAGATTGGGAATAACCAGGGAGACAGTAGCCTAGAAAAGCAGTTTGCTATGAGAGAAACTGCTACTGGAATGACATYCACAGGACAAGGAARCAGCCAGTCTCTGCTGGCAWAACACAGCAGACACCCAGAACACTTGGCCACTTCTCATTGCATGATTCTTGGGGGGAATCCTTGTTTTACACCTTTAAATCAGGAATATACAATACTGCACCACTGTCGCACAACTCCAACAGATAACAGGATGCTACAAAGACATTGGAATACACTAATTTATACACAAAAAAGTAGAGATGACCTCCAGTACTCACTCCCCTCCCCACCCCAGATCTCCAGCCACTGGCCACTTAAAAAAAAAAATCAAAACTTTTCTCACACCTGAAACCAGTATGAAAATCTGGCCCCTCTAGCAACCATGAAGTAAAAGTAAATATATGRAACAAAATCACTAGATGACTTTGCAGCTTCACTTATATGGTTAATTCACTATCCAAGTAAGCCATATCTGCTTATGTATTTTCATTATTATTACATGTTCTGTAGATCAGAACAAACAGCTCTTATATAAATCCATCTGTAAGTCTGGCAAACAGGTTAATCTTGAAACCAGTTAAATACAATATTCAACCCATTTATTTCTGTGTCCATTTATTTAGAAAACATTCATTCAAGGAATGAAAGCTAGGACTCGTGGTACAGTACCAGGTATTACCTATGCTACCATACACTCTTTTTAGCAGAATGAAAAAGAGAAAATACATACAGTTTTAGAACAATTTCACTTGCAATAACCTTAATCATAATAGCCACTCAAAAAAWTCCACCATTGGAAAACCAGTGCTAAAATAATACCTTCTCTTATTTCCCTTATTTAGAGTTAGAATGATACCATGACCTTTTTTAATTATTTTTTTTTAAAGTATATATACTTTTGTAGGACCCAACTACACCATGCAATTGTTTTAGGTAGCATCCCTTAAAATGGTGTATGACAGCTTTATGTGAAAAAGAACACTATTGTAGCCTAACAGTGAGATGTGGGTATGGCATGATTTCCTACCCCTCTGRGCATAAGGTTAAGTCACATCCACACTGATGAGACCAAACAAATATTTAAGCCAGAATGTTTTARAATGGAGTGTAAACACAGTCAAAGAAATTATATACCAAGTGTTAACATTGTACAAAGAAACAAAGTGCACTGGAACRTGTGCACTAAGCAAGCACTTGTGAATACTTGCTGGTCTGCATAAGAGTTACATTTATTGCAAAATGACATCTGAAACTGATATTCACCAGCTGCTCACCTAGTCTCACACCRAAGCAGCTCCTCTTTAAATTACACTGGGAGGCCACAAGCACTACCTTAGCCCTGAACTGTGGGAAAGTTCTGCGAGCTCAGGCTCTACTACAAATAATGAACTGGGCACCACACTCTCACCTCKTCCTCAATTTCTCAAGGAGTGAGATTAGGCCAATACTGGTCCCCTGTGAAAGGTACTGGACCCTGTGATACATTGCAACAAAGCAATTTAGGATACACATGTGTCTAAACAAGCACAAGTCTTCCTAATGAAAGACYAGGCATGTTAGTCAGCATATGGGAGAGGAAGGATAGGAGAGCCTTTCCTAAGGTACCTTGTTTTCCTAAGAAAAAATAACTTCGGCAAATACTTTTGTTCACTACTCTATGCCTTCAACTAAGATACAAGTAAGCCCTTGTACATTACATAACATTTTTCATCTCCCATACAGGAAGTCTGATCACAGCTTATACAAGGAAGTGATAGAAAACATTCCCCAAAAGCAGTCCCATTTTCACAAAGTATGTTTACATAGGATTTCAAGATGATTTTAAAACCACAACCTGCTACAGACTTTGTCTTACTTGCCTATTTCAATACTGTGCATTCAATCTCTGTGACATAACCAGGTTTTCATACTAGGCTAACTATGGCTATTTCTCTYATTTAAATTTTAATCCATATTCTTTAACAAATAAACATACAAATGGCTTTTTTTTTTTTTTTAAATTAGGCTTTAAAATGTTAAAATCAGCCTTAAAAGGCTGCAATCTTCTTGTAAAATATTATTAAAACCTCGATAAATATGTTTTTTTTTTTATTTTTCACTGACGTTTGGAAGTTCAACAACTTTTAGAAATASATCAGATCCTTTTTGAAAAGGGCATAATCACTTATTTGTCATAGCACATAGCAGTTTACTAAATTGAAGAACTCAAGGTTTAATTGCTTTGTGTATTATCTACGTGTGTAAGTTATTTCCAAAGAGAAGCAATGGAGTTCMTGTTGGAAAAGAAATTCTCAAAAAACTACCAAAATGCTCCTAGGACTAAGTTTCACTCTCCTTTGCCAATAAGCAAAAGTCTGTATCTGTAGTTATGCAACATCTAGGTCTTTTGGAAATGTGAACTTCTGCTAGAAGTTGAAAGCAGTATCTAAACATTCTCCTACTGACCTAAGGAGAAAAACCTCTTTTTAACCAGAACAGCAGTTCTCATTAACATCATGAAAGAAGTTAACATTAAAGAAATAACTGTTTGGATGACATAGCCTAACTAAGCCTACACTGAATAACTGAACAGAAAACATCWATATTAACTAAGAACATTAGCATTCTTGAGGGAAGATGAGCAGCTTATTTTCTGGTAGTTCAAATAATAGGTACATTTTAACCTGAAATCCTTCAGGGGGATGTAAGCAACAGCAATGCAGATGGTTACATGTTTGGAGATAGAAGTCCACATATTTCAGAGGTAAAAAAAATTGTCATTTTATATCAAAGGACCCATGTTTTGTTCTGTATGTACTGGATTGCAAAGAGCATTTTTCAGTAAAGTTTTGCAGACCCTGCTGTATTTCAAGTACCACATGTTCTTCAAACTTGCTTAAGCAGATTCAAGTTCCAATGGTCTCTCTCTCTCTGTAAATTACCACAAACCAAATAACCACAAGCTGTTCAGAATGGCTGCAGAGCATTCTGCAGAAAAGAGTGTGCCTCAAGCTAAAAATACAAAGCTGTTTCTGGAGTTGTAGAAAAATTGCTGGTTTATATCTTGTGTTGGAAATAAAAATAACCAGTCAACCTACCGTTTCTGTTAAACTCATTCCCTATGACTCTGTCCAATGGAAAGAAAACCCAAACCAACAAAATAACAGGTACTGAAGGAAGAGGCTGCTTCTATAGGCACAAACACCACATGATGAACAAGCCCTACATCAGAGAAAAATCTAGCATGCATCTTCAACACTGTTTGCAGAAATCAAGGACAAGTAACTGCTAAAAGCAATACGAGGAAAAGCTGCCTTCTTTCAAAAAGGTATAAGGAAATAATTACACAGATTAATAAAATACCRATATTCACAGTCCACCTGAACTAAAACTGGTTTACAGCTTCAGGAAAGAAGTCAAAATAGTACAGAACATTTCTTTTTTCCTCTTAAAAAGCAGAAAGAGTGTCACACTGTCACAAGATAAACTGTTGCTGCATATAGATTTGAATCAACCGTCTTGTGCTTTCCATTCAGGGGATACAAAACACGAGGTCATGATTCCTGATAACTTATAGCTATCAGATGCCAATACAAATCAAGCATTTTTCCTATCTAATTTATTATGGAATCGCTAAACTACAGTAAGATGTAAAAGATTTCAAGAAATTCCTGTGAGAAATACTTAGGTTATTTTATGAACAAATTTGGATTTTTCTTTAGTTCACCTATGTTCACCAATATATAYGGTAAATGCACCTTGAGTATAAGAACTGAATGAAAACAGTCAGAAAAAAATAAAACATGGAAACTGATGTGTGAGACCATAGGTCCCTCTCCTACTTCTGATTATTATTATTGTTTTATTCTTTTTAAATACCACCACTGACAAAACCCAATGCAAGATACAGTCCCCAAACCCACACCAAACTGCTTTGCTTTGCCGTGCATCTTTTCCACCAGGTTTTCAGGCCTGCTTCTTCAGACAGAGCATCTGGAGGYTACAAAAGCACAACCTGTACTTCTCCATCAGTCATGTTTACTTGTGTGATGTTTTTTCCAGATCTGGAAGTTTTTCAATTAGTGCTTTATGGTTCATGTTGATACTGGCTATAAGTCCTCCTTCATTGCCATCTGAGCCAGTGTAACTGATTTCTTCACCAGTCAGGGTAGTCATATGGCCACCCAATGCTCTCAACACTGCATTTCCAGCACATATGTCCCACTTTTTAATATAGGTGACATGGATATACACGTCAGCTTCTTCTTGATTCTTTTCAGGCACATCAAGGAGGGCCAAAACTTTATAACCTAGAAGAAATGGGCAGAGGTAAAAAACAACAAAAAAAGTTAAACTAAGTTTTCCTGTCTAAACTCGTTAAAAGAACAAGACCAGAAACTCAAACAGTTCTGCTCTTATTTTCACTCACTTATTTCTCAATCCCTGCATCATGCTGCAGTCTATCATTTTCTCCCTGGATTTTTATTACTATAGAAGGAAGATGTATACACCACTCTCTAATAAAGCAAAACAGCCCATGGCATTCCCCTGTATCATGTAGTACAAAGTAATTGCTCAAAACAGTATTGTCTCTTTTATGGAATTTTTTCAATTTTTCAACTCTTTGACCAATATTCTTGTTTCATTAATCTGCTCCTTTCTTTATCTTCTTAAACAGAGTCAAGTCCTGGACAAGACCTGCTACAATCAGTAACACTTTCACTTTCTTTGTCATTTAGATTCATTATCAAGAAGCAATACAAGACCTTCATGACTAAACAATCTGTAAGGGAGCTCTAGCTTTTTGYATTAAAAACCCAGAAAGACACATTTCTGTAAAATTCAAATTTTGCATGTTTTTTTCTGAGACTTTAAAACTGCTCTTGCTTCACACTGGTGCTGCACATATTCTGACAGTAACACGCACAAGGACATAGCATAAGTAAAAAGTACTCTGAAATTTCTTTAAATTGAGTATGAGGCAGACCAGAACAGACAATTTTCTCTTTTGACATAAATGAAATAAATAGAACCAAACTTTAAAGGCATTTTTCTTAATTTTTTTTTTGAATCAACCATATAACAGTTAACTAACAACCAACAGATTCTCTTCCATGATTCTGCCTGTGGTCACACAACCCTTTTTCTCCCACTGAGGCATCAGTGCCTTCAATGAATATACATGAGTGTGTTTCAGTGAAAGGACCACAGCAACATTGWTAGTGCTTTTAGTCTTTAAAGGCCCAGGCTTAGATTCAATAACATACTGACTTGTGATGAGCCTGAGCCAAGTTTGCATGTAGGTTCCTAAACACAGGAGAAACTGTGTCCCTATTGTCAGTGATGTGAAGGTAAAAAGCAAGAGGAAAATGAGGAGACACCACAGTTACATCCTTTTGTGTAGTAACAGCTACACCATGAAAACATTCAGAAGCAAATAAACAGATAGGATGCTTTAAGAACCAAACCTGCTCCACCAGCGGGGATTATCACAGTTTTATTTCCAAATGTCTGYCGTGCAACCTGCTCAACTTTTCCTGCATGGGAGCGAGACACAATAATCCTTGGAGTCTTCTCATTGTAGGAGGAGCGAGCTTTTACATTTGACCCACCATCCACCATTGCCCAAGCTACAAGAGAAACAAAAWCTCTGCTAAGATTTACAAAAGACAATCTGTTAAGTATGAAGATAAAAAGGTACTTATTAAGAATTTGTAATTGATACCTCTGACTTAGTATCTCTCACTATTGTAAAAGAGAAAGCTAGGGCTGACAGAGGATGGGGTCTATACCCACACGTGTACACAAGGGAAGAGAAAAAGGCCACGCACACATTGGTGCATGTGCCATTATCCCAAACTGCTCTTGTGTGATACTTCCAAGAAACAGAATAAGAAGGAAAAATCCTAAGTAGTTAATATTTAGAACTTGCGATTGCAAAGCCACCAAAGTTAAAAGGATGGCTCCTATTCAGAAATACATCCAATATTTCCGCCAATAAATAGCTCAGGAAGAGAGTGCTACAAAGAAAAATATCTGATGTTGTTGTGTTTCAGAGAACTGAATTTAGAATACACAACTTTCTTCTTGTTTCATCAGGAGGTTCAAAGCCAAGCTTGGTAGGTGGTACCCCTAACCATTAATCTGACATTTACTTAGGAAACTACCCAGCAATTTYGTCTCAGTAGAGAGCCAGATTGTTTGGCAACAGACTGAGCTATGTGTAATAACAATGCTGACTGCCCTTTATTGCTTTGTATTTGTGTGGTAGTATTAGGAACAATCTGACTCAAAACATATTGGTATTTCCAGCTTGGAAAATGAATACTTGTCACATAGAATGACAGAATTCATTGCATCTCATCTGATTCCATGTCTGAACATTGCACACTTCACTACTATTAAAGGAGATAAATTCTCAACATTGCAATGCTAAAAAAACATTTCTTCTGATAGGCATGGATAAYGAAAAAATGTTTCAAAACCTCCAAGATTCTTGAAGTATACTGAAATACAGCATATACTTAAGTGGCTGGTAAATAAATTCAGATTTATAGACAGTAAAATATTTAGCACAAAATGATGAGTGTTCAGTGGGCCAAAAAAGGAGAACAAATACAAAATGCATTTATTCGGACTTCGTCTTTGTGCCAGAGCTACTGAAGAACTTCAGAACTCTAGAGGTCAGTATTGCCTAAGGGAAAATGTAAACAGCAATTCCTGTTCCAAATACTTAAACTGCTTTGAAGCTTTCAGAAGTGCATGCAAATTGCCAAACTTGCAGCAACCCTCACTCAATACTAAAGAATTAATTACGTCACAGTTGCTGCATTAAAAGCATGTCAGATAATCAATAAGGCTATGCTAGACMGTCTTGCCTGTTAAATACAGTTACCATTAGGATCCTTAATCCATCACTTTTTATTCACACYGARCAAACACCAGCTCCTGGGTATATTATTATAGATCCAAGTTGTTCTGCTAATGAGAAAGACACTCTTTTCTGCTAAAGACTAAAAGYACATATGAAACTGGTCACTATTTGTAGGTTTAACTTTTTTTTTTTGTTATAAGCGCTCTGATTGAAGGGATCTTAGCTCTTAAACATATTTTCAGTTAGCTTGTTTCAAATCCAGTATTTTTATGTTAAACAAGGGCAGAATTCCCCATGTGTTTTATACCACAGAACACATCTGCAGCTCTAATTGTGAGGTTTGCTGCAGTGCCCTTTTGCCCCTGGTACAATCTTCTCATTTATACCTACAGATATTCTCTCAAACATAAACTTTTAATTAACAGAACTATGYTAATTAATTTAATTAGCAATATGACTGACTATGATGGAAACATGTGAAGGCATGAAGGTACCTGTGTATGATGAGAAGGGCTTGTGTATGACTCCTATTACTGGTTTACCATTTACAGCCACACAAACCATTGTTGTGACATACTGTCGAAGATCCTCTGTGGGCAAAACAAGAAAGTGAGCAAGTTTACAATCAGATGCCAAGAACACAAAAGGAAAAGAGACAGGAGATTATAGCAATGTTGTTCTCTGAAGCCTAGTTTATATTCTGCCTCTTACAGTTATGTAACTTTGATGTATCTTCAAATAACCTTGCAGTTTTCAGACTTTAAAGACTTTTCAGCTTTCCAGCAATTTTTCCTGTTCAATAGATGTAACYTGTACTCTTACCAGATCTAATGCTAACAGCTGTGTCTTAGGTAACATGTATTTTCATGGAAATCTGTGCCTCTGCATTTTCCCTCCTCTGCTTCTTCTCCTATCCTCTATTGGTTCAAAAATGGTAATTCAAAAACGAAAGAAAAATCACTAGAAAGGATGATTAATGAAATAGTCACCAAAAACATTGCATTTTTGTATGTGTTTCTTAGTATTTATCAGTAGAAATTTTAGTTGGATTGCCTTGAACTGCTTATGTGACATCYTAAAACATTTAAGAAGGGGGAACACTGAATTATGCATGCTTTTTTTAAAAAATGACAGCAAGAATTTTCTTGTATCAAGTTAAATATGATATTTATTTAGGATATGCTTAAATAAACAAAACCAAAAATCAAAGATACTTAGTGTCGCCACAGTAATGACTGAAATAAAGAAATGTGTAATTCCAGCAGAATCCATAATTGACAGTTACCATTTACTATAGCAATTGCTTAGTTGCAAGGATACCAAAGTAATTTCAGAGTTGGAATATATAAAAGCAAATGCTGTGATTTGAGAACTACAGAGATTTCATGATGCAATTTGTTCAATTAAATCATGCTAGCTTTGACATAAGACACTTTAACAAGAAATGTCATTTTAAATACTACTTAGTCTCCAGTGTAAAAGGCAAAGATCAGAATTACACACATAATTTGTCAACAAGAATCAGCTACCTGTGTATTCTTGTGTAGCATCTAACGGATCGATCCAGACAGTAACAGTTTCTGCTGGCACCTCTTTAGGCTGTATTTTCTGCTTTATGTCTTCAGGAATGCTGCGATCCCAGGAGAYTGTCTCCTGATCAGCTGTGTCAACACGCTCCTCAGAATTTATCTGTGGTAAGACAACAAAAGTACTTATCAGMTACAGTAACTGTGGCACTTGGGAAAATTACAGGTTTGCTCACATTTTCTATTTCTTCCTTCATCTAAAATGCAAGAATTAGTAATTTTTTTAGTAACTAACAGGCTGTTATAATTATATAGCAATATATACAAGCAATGGAATTTTACTGTGAACCACACCACAGCTGGACACTCTAGCTTTGGCTGCAGCTCTCCCTACTGAACATTCCCACTATGAACCACATTTTTTTAAATCAATATTTAAATGCAGTTGCTTCAAGGACTACAGGCAGAACATTACACTCTGGAGAATTGTACAGTACACAGACGGTAGGGGATCTAATTTTCAATTTATACAGACCAGTAGATGCACATGGAAATGTACAGATATACTATCACCAGATATTGTGCACACTGTGCAAGACTTGGACAAGTAGGAACCTTAGTATACCTATTCCTGCTGCTGGCATTGAGTTACAACTAGAAATTTAAGCAGGTCAATTGAATTTAATCATTACACAACTGTCAGATGAATGCTATTTCACAAGCAAATTAGTAACATCYCATACCCATCTTTAGGGTAAGTCACAATAAGGTCCTAAGATGGCCCATGAAGAACATTTATAATCAGCAGTCAAAGGTCACATTTAAGCCTATTGTTACCTGCTGCCCACCCCAATAAATTTTATTCAACACCAGAGGGCATTTCACTATATCAAGCAGAATTTGGACCAGTAGCGGAGCACACAGCACCAATCTGTTGAATGGAGTAATGATCTACAAAACCCAATGCAACATCCTTGTAACAACAGTAGTACAATATTTTTGGATGACCAGAGATCCAGTYATCCCAAAAGTTCTAGGCGAGTGACATGGAAAGACAAAAAATAAAAAAGCTATCAGAYATTTGAATGTGGCAGATTTTATGAGCAAGATTTTTGCATAATTCACATCATGASAAGAAAAGGCATCACACACACCTCAGCTGTAACAGGTTATTAGACAAGAGTTAAGGGCTCTTTTCTCCAAGAGAATTAAAAAAAAAAAAGGAAGCAGAACTGCAGCAACTCCAGCCATACATCATAGCTGTCTTCTCACGTAAAACCAGCATCTGAAGTATTATATGCCAGACATGGAGCTTTTGAAGTTGCCATGACATTTACAAATTAAACATCTGTCACTGTACAATAAACCTGACGATTGCAYTTTCCCCCAGGGAAAACAGTCCTGCAAAGTCAAGATGAGTAGTTCCACAGACTTGGCAGTCTCAACACAGCCCCTGGGCARTCAAAGTTATGCTACAGCACATGACATAGCATCATAAAAAACCCATTTCCTCAACAGAAGAAAGGGGCCTCCAAAAAGTTAAAGGGTTGGAACCAATGCCCAAAAGGAAGACTATCCTATTAAACTTGTTGTTACAGTACWCTAGAATTTAAAGTCTGAAACTATCTGAAAGATACTGTTTTCAGAGAAAGACAACCTGCTAGTTCAGATTTTGTAGCAGTGGCCATGACACTGAAGCATTTATAATGCTTATGAGGAATCTCTCTCAACAGACATGGTTATTCCAATAGAAAAAAATTGGGAAATAGTGATAAAGTCACGTAGCCATCTGGAAAAAGAAAAACACCCCAAAAAAACCAACCGAACCAACCCCCACAAACAAAAACAACAACCAAACAAAAAAAAATCCAAACCAAAAACAAAAACAAAAAAAAAACCCACACCAACAGAAACCCCAGCAACCAAGTCACTAGTTCTTCCACTCATATGACCATTTAGTCTGTAGCCTTGGCTGAATACTTGCCTGAAAGGGGCTCACCAACTCTTAAAACTGAGAGCTTCTTTTATCCCTACTTTTTTTTTTTCTTCTTTTAATGCAGGACAATATACCTGGAAAACATGCCTTTGTGTTAATTCCATGTTCCTATTTGTCATTCTCATTTGCTGGCAGCTTCCAGAAGCCACAACCTTACACTTTAAACTTTCCTGAAGCAATATTGATATGTAGTTCACTGCAATCCCAAATCTTCACTCATAAATTAGGAGTAGCAATGGTAGAAAGACAATCACAAGGCCAAGTATTTCAGACACTGGAGCTCATTTCAGCAAGATGCTCTGGGGTTAATTTCCTAACAGCTGTAAGGMGAAAAAGCCCATCTGGGGAAGTTCTGGAAGCTGAGCACTGACACTGAGCTAAACTATATTTCAGCAATCCTCCCCAGTTATGCTTGAAGCAAAAGCCTTCCTCACAATGAATTGCATCAAACACATGTTTAGTAAAATATATGTAAATCAGTGCATGGAACACTGCTGAAAAGTAAAAAAAAAAAAAAAAAAAAAAAAAAAACCAAAAAAAAAAAAAAAAAAAAAAAACAAAAAAAAACAAAAAAAAAAAAACAAACCAAAAACAGACCAGAAATATTATTTCACAAACAAGGCAGTCTGGTTGCATCTCATCAGAGCTTCCTCAAAACCAGCCCGCAAGCTGCAGGAACTGCATTAACAAATTAGGGCTGCTGCTCACGGGAGCCAGGAGCAGAAGTCCAATACCAGGATCAGTCCATGATGTGCCTTCCAAAACAACCAGGTACTTCCAGCTTTAAGAAACCTCTGCACAGAGAACACTCCCCTCCAGCRCATTGGTGATTGCAACTTAGATCTGCTCAGGAACACAGGAAGCAACTCTAACGCACTACTGGACAAATTCAGTGCTCTGAACAAACAGCAAACAGTCYTGACCACTTAAAGACTTTAGGGAACCTCACAGTGGCTCTTTGCATTGTGCTGGTTTACTCCCTACCAGCACCTCRTGCTGTCTTTGTGGCAGCTCATCACCCAAAAAGCCTAATTGAATACTGAATAGCAGTCCCTGGCGTGACACAATTTCAGGCTTTTTCCAGGTCTGAAAGGGTGGGGCACAACTGTAGTTTTGCCTTTGAATTMACCCACTGAAGGAAAATTAAAATGAAAAAATATATGCAAACACCACCTTCCCCCCAACCCAAAATAGGAACTTTTGTTCAAATACTTACATCGTTTTTTTAAAAACTGACATCAGTACATGAAAATGCAATGCTTTTCTTAGAAAGTGTTTGGAGGCATGTGATTTTTTTTTTTTAAATTTAGTATTCCCTCTTCTTCCCCACATACTTCTCCAGCTCAATACTAATTTTATATTTTAACATGCAAATAATCCAGTATCTTGAAAAATATGAGGTAACACAGCACTTTATTCCCCAGAGCAGCAATATTTCCAACTGACAAATACGTCCTCTCAAATCCAAATCTTAGCTCTATTTTATTAGAAAATAAACCAACACAAATACTATCATACCTGTATTACAAAGAAGAAATACTAATTTAAAAACTCCCCAACCCACCCCCCCCAAAAAAAACCAAAACCAACCCAAACTATTCCATGATTCTATGATTCAATGATTCAGTGGATAGGTCTATTGATTTGAATGGGACCATGGAAATGAAAAGCCTGGAGGCCTGCAAGCCTGGAGCGTGCACAGGGGAACATTGGTAAAACATTAATAGGTATTTGTTTTTCTGTTTTGTTGGTGCACTGATGCTGCATGACCTACACAGCCACTTCATCGGTGATTATGTGGTGTAGGCATTTTGCATGCCCAAGATCCAATTTAACTTTGCCACCTGTATTCACCTRGCATGAGATGGAGGTAAGAAGTGGAGAGACAAAAGTAAGTAAATGCAAATGTTTTCAAACAATAAACCAACAGTGGTCCAACAGCTTTCTGAGTGACTGAAATGTCCTCTAGTGGACAGTGGAAGATATTTTATAACTACATACACACTCTGGATGATAGTCCAGGGGATCCAGTAAGAGTTCAGGGTCATGTCTGTCCAGTCTGGTGGCCTTCTGTGATGGAGTGACTGCAAYAGTTGGTAAGGAAAGACCAAGTGGTRCCATCTACCTAGACTTCTSTAAGGCCTTTGGCAGGGCCCCACATGACATCATTATCTCCAAATTGSAGAATATGGATTTAAAGGGTAGACTATTCAGTGGATAAGGAATTGGATGGATGGATGCAGCCAGGAAGTTGTGGTCAATGGCTCTATATCCACATGGAGGCCAGTRAAGAATGGTGTCCCTCAAGGCTCCATTTTGGGACTTTTATACCTTCATCAATGACAACAGCAAGATCAAATGGACCCTCAGCAAGTTTGCAGATGACAYGAAGMTGAGCAGTGCACTTGACACAACAGAAGGAAGGGACACRATCCCGAGGGACCTGAACAAACTTGAGAAGTTCGCTCACAAGAACCTCATGARTTTAACAAGTCCAAGTGCAAGATGCTGCATCTGGGTTGGGACAATGAGTACAGACTGGGAAGACTCATTGGGAGCAGCATAAYGGAGACAGTTTTGGGGTTTACTACGGATGTTGCTCACAGCCCAGACTGCCAACCACCTCCTGGGATGCATCAAAAAAGCAGCATGGCCAGCAGGTGGAGGGAAGTGATTCTCCCCCTCTACTCTGCCCTGGTGAGAACCCACCTGGACTGCTGCAACCAGGTATGGACTCCTCTGCACRATAATGATGTGGACCTGTTAGAGTGAGTCCAGAGGAGAATCACAAAGATGATCTGAGGGATGGAGCACCTCTCCTATGAAGACAGGCTAAGAGTTGGGCTTATTCAGTCTGGAAAAGAGAAGGCTGCTGGGAGACCTTAAGGCAGCATTCCAATGCTTAAAGGGTGCTTATAAAGAGGGAGAATAACTTTTTAGACAGGCAGATATAAATAGGACAAGGGGGAATGGTTATAAGCCAAAACAGGAGAGATTTGGTTTAAATGTTAGGAGGACATTCTTTACTGTGAGGGCAGTGAGACACTGGAACAGGTTACCCAAAGAAGTTGTGGATGCCTCATCTCTTGAAATGTTCAAGGAAGGGATGAAACTTTAAACAACTTGGTCGAGTGGAAGGCATCCCTGCCCATGGCAGGTCTGTTGGA